CACACACACACACACACACACACACACACACATACATACACACACACACACACACACACTCTCAAACAGACACACACACACACACACACTCACACACACACTCAGTTCAGTCTGTTATCAGCTGTGATTGAGTTTCTCGACTGGTGAAACAGACAGCATGTTTTCTGGAAGCTCGACAGAGCTGAGATATCTGATAACAGACAGAGAGAGAGAGACAGATTCCTCTTATCCACTGACAGGACGCCTGAGCTCAATCTGCCAGAATTTCACACGAAAACAGTGATTTCTGGGCCAGAAAAACTGGTTTTGCACCGGCCCAGAAACCAGTGCCCATTGGGATCATTTTATCAATTTATTATACCTATCTATCTGAGAAAATGTGATGATAATTCATTACTTTATGATTTTATATTTATTTATTTTATATTGCATACTTTATATATTTGTATATTATATAAATAAATAATTCTATGTATTTGAAAAATAATATTTAAGAATAATTTAAAAAAATTAAAAATAATTATTTAAAAATAATTTAAAAAAATTATTCTATGTATTTTATTTATATATGCTGTTAACTTTTTTATAACTTTTTGTTTACGAAGTTTTATTATTTTATCAAACTTGCTAGCTTATATTATGTATATGTATTCATCATTGTTGAACTGCCTTAAATTGATGCTGATTTTAATAAAATCTCATTTTATTTCAGTAATAAGAATCACACCAGAGAATCATGAGAAGAACTAAAACTGAGGTTAATTCTCATGAAAATAATGTATTTTTTCTTTTGTTTTGGGGTGTTTTGTGTGTGTTCAGGTAAATATGCGGAGGATTTGTTCGGCGAGCTCTTTAATGAAGCTCATTCTTTCTCATTTCGAGTGAATTCGCTTCAGGAGAGAGTCGACCGCCTGTCAATCAGCGTCACTCAACTCGACCCCAAAGAGGAGGAGTGTGAGTACAAACACACACACACACACACACACACACAGACACACACACAGACACACACACAGACACACACTCACACAGACACA